TCTCACCCTCATGACCTCTGAGTCAATAGCCCATGAGGCCGAAGGCCTCATGGGCTATTGACTCAGAGCCCATTCGGGCTCGAGGAATAATTGTTAACTTGCGTGAAGGCCATTTGCACGACATTGGTAACCACTTTTTTGTAAAACTTAACAAGTATAACGCTTTATTATATACATACTGAGAAATACTCACCAAAAAGCTATGTCGTAAATTTTCGTACGCAAATTAGTTATAGCCAATCAGAGGAGCGAACGATGGTTTTCACACGTGAAAAAAACGATACGTCCAATCAGAATCGCGAACGATGTTTTTTCACGTGTGAGAAAAATGATACGTTCAATCAGAAGCCACAGAGGTGTAGGAGTTTCGCGCCAAAATTCCCGCCTTTTATTGCAGCTTGCAGCGCCGCTTCGCACACATTTATCAACGAGAAAAGTTTTACTCAAGGAGTTTTTCTCGCTAAAAAAGTGAAAAACATTTCGGAAATGGAGTGGAATAGTTTCGTTTGTTTCACTGTCGATAAAAAAATACGGTAGAGAGCCGGTGAAACAACAGCGGAAAGGGATAAACAGAACGAGACGTAAGCTTTTGTTGTGCTTTTTGTCGGAGCTACTTTGCCTTTCATTTAAGCTTAAGCTTATATTGAAACCGGCCATTTTACTTAAATTCACTCATTTTCAATTGTGCATTGAGAACAAACAGTTAAGATTACTTATAGTTCTTGGATTAAACCTCATATCCTCACCGTCATTTATGTTTTTAACAAACGTTTTTACTAAAAAGCTGATACTTCGTTTTCGTTGTCATTTTGCGGTAAGTGTGTAGCGGCAAATTTTAGCATTTTTGAAAGATTTAAAATAAAAAGGCCCGCAAAATGATGAATGACTCAGTATGTATATAATAAACACAATACCACATGGAAAGTGCTTTGTACGGTATTTACGCACTCGTTGTTTTTGTATCAGAAATCTTACTCGTTCGCTGCGCTCACTCGTTCGATTTCTGATACGTCAACAACTCGTGCGTAAATACCGTACGCCAGCACTTTCCATGAAGTATTCTCTATATACTGTTACTACTAAACTCCTGTTACCACTTTCTACTAAACTCGTACATAGAAAGTTGATTTTCTATAAGGTCATTATGGTGCAATTGATATGCATTACAATGAGTACATAGTTTTGGTTGTAGCTTTAACCTGCGTGTCATTGGTGCCGATAACTTTCTTGGTTATTTTATATAGGGGGACGAAAGGCAAGCGAGGCGAACACCCTCCCTTCGCCCTAAAAAGAGACCGGGTTGGCTACGCAGGCTATTTTAGCTTTAAGTTCGATGAGGAATTAAAATCATTGTTAAAGAACTGTACGGGTAGCGTGCTTAAAGGACGCTATTTTATCATACTTTTAAATAATGACCGTAAGTTTTGTCAGTGATCTCACATCTCACTTACCTCTTAAATAACGCTTAATAGACAAAACTTTTAAAGGTTTCTTGTAAGCTCAAAATTGACTGACGGAATGTTCATGGCTTTCAAAGCGTTAGATTATCAATGCACGATATGTAACCGTTCATAGAAGCTCGATTGTCGTACTTTAATTTCCATTTTCAACATTGTGTCTTTGTCTTGGAGGCACTATTGAAGGCACCATTTAAGAACTGTAAATGTGCCATTTAAGCGCGAAATAAGAAACACGTTAAAGCCACTACACCTGAAGCACAATACACAGGATTGTGACTTCTTATTAGAGCATAATTGAGTACTCCATACACGCTCAAAGAACGATTGCGAAGTATTGATTGCGTATGTAGAGCAATGCGTTTTTGAGGATAAGAAATACAAGGCAAGTTGTCTACGGTTCTAAAGGTGGAGAGAGGGATTCGGCGAAATTAGGAGAGTTGACCGGTAGGCGATTTTGATAAGTTGCATTAATCTCCTCCTTATAGTCAAATAATAAGAACAATACTTAATTTTTATAGGGCCATTTCCAGCAATACCCAATGGCGCTTTCCAAGAAATGTTTAAAATATTACAAATATTGCTCATAAATTACATTGAATTGAAACGAATAAAAACGAATTAAAAATAGTAACACTAACTGATAAAAAACACATTCAATTAAACACTTTGAGATAAGTCTTAAAGTTTTTCCTAAAAACTCTCACAAGATTTAATTTCTAGTGGCATATCATTACACAACTGTGGAGAGGCTGCTGGAAAAGACCGGAAACCACAGTTGCGCAGATTATATCGGACAAGAAGCAGACGCCGAGGAATATACCTCGTAACTAGGTCGGACAAATATGGAGGGGCTAAGCCATTTAAACCTTGAAAGGTCATAAAAAGAATCTTAAAAGTTATGCGCTCTTCTATAGGAAACTAATGCATTTCCTGTAATACTGGTGAGAAATGTTCATGTTTAGGTGTAGGCGAATAAAGGATTCTGGGGCCCGTTTCTCGAAAGTCCCGATAATTAACGGGCCCGGTAAGCTGTCTCCGTTTACATTAAAGATCGAGGTTTCAATAGTTTTGCACCTAACACGACAAAACTGTCAGTTAATGAAACAAAATGCACTAGTTTGCTAGCCAGGACCCGCGTTCTTATTCTTTCTACTTCGATTTGAATATTTGATTTCGGGCCCGTTAAGTTAACGGGACTTTCGAGAAACGGGCCCCTGGCCGCTACATTTTGAACATGCTGAAGTATCTTGATAGTTTATTTCGGTAGTCCATACAGAAGTGAAATATAGAAGTCCAATCGGGAAGTAATGAAAGCATGCACAAGTATTTCCGCCGTATGGCGACTGATATATTTCTTTATGCGGCTAATGTTTCGAAGGTGGTAGAAGGTGGTAGAGGCCTGCCTTGCATACGGCTGACTGTAAGAAGATATTTCATCGACTTGAATGATCACACAGAACACCAATGTTTCTGCAGTACTCGTTACAAATCGTGGAAAAAGAAACCCTTTCCAATGAATTTTCTCTTAAATTTCTTACATTCACTCTTCACACATTAAATTATTTTGTTCTCACTCAAAAGTGCCCATCTCCTTCCTCAACGTTGAGCCACGTGTATTTTGGAGTACTAAGACGACTGTAATAACCCAAATTAACATTGGGGAAGGGGAAACGCACACAAGTGTTCCAAGATTTGTGACGCGTATTGTAGCTACCGATGACTTGCTAATCGCCTCATCACAAACTGAAATTGACGTCAGGGGCGAAGGTTAACGATGACTAGCAGTTAGCACAACTAGTTCTGTCTTGTCCCTGTTCATCTTAAGCTTGTTTACTGTTATCCAAGCATCGATATCTCGCACACAGTAGTCTTCTACCGCTATCTAATTTTGCCAGTTCAGCAGAGGATGATTCAGAGGTGAGAGGCGTATGATCGGCATACAAATGAAGGGCAACTTGACTGGTGTCTGATAATATCACCCAAGGGTGAAGTATAAAGCAGGAACAAAAAAGGTCAGAGGACACTACCCTGGGAAACACCATAATGAAGCTCACGCCACCGTTTACTTTCACTGTCCGTGGTAACGATCAGACAAATAACTATGATCTAAATATAAAGCACTACACACTGTAAAGTGCGCAGTCGACGACGCCAAAACATCGCTCTTACTAGCAATGTTAGCTGAGTAAATTATAAGAACGGAGAAATCGTAAATTAAAGTGGACTTGATATATTTTCGGCTAGCGCGCTCGATTTAATTTTGGCGGGCCAAAAAAAGGCTTTTAGTATGACATACAGGAAGAATGTATGTTTTTTTTCAAAAGAAAATTTTCGGCACAACCGCTAAATATATATAAATACACCCTTGATGCTATTACCTTCTGAAAAATGGTGAAATTCACGGTGTTAACAAATGACGAAACATTACTTTCTTTGCACGGGTGTAAGAAATAGAAAAAAAATCCTAAATCGAGATAAAATATAGCTTGAAAGTAACTTTGAGAAATGTGTACTAAACCTTGTAAGGATGATGTATAGATTTCCTTTCGTTTTTTTTGTACGAGCGGTTTGAAAATGCCCTAATTTGCATAATTTCCAGGTTTAAGCCGAAATTAAACTTTCCTATTTTTCGCAAAAACGGGGCTTCGCTAATGAGAACTTTCGAATATTGCCACGGTGTTTGAAAATAGTATACCAAAAGGGTCTTTTGGCGAAATAATTTTTTGAACTGCATGTCGCCGGATTCTCGATAGTAACTGACAACGGCTTTTAATCGTTAATCTTAATCGTTGTCATAGATTTTGCTTCCCACCATTTTTTTGCTGTTTCTTTTATATCCCGCACTTTGCTCGTGCACAATTGGTTCGTTTTTGCCATGTGTTTGGTCGGAAATCGAATTCAAGTTTGTTTTGAGTTTTACTGTTCGGCTCGCTTTCTTTCGTTACGTGAAATCCCAGCACATTACAGTTTCATAACAAAACAAAACAACAAAAACAACAACAAAAACACTCATGCACTTTATTGGTAGCACTAATAATACGAATTGTTATACATAGTGTTCACCATCTTTCTTCTCATTCTATAAAAGCCTTCAGTTAATTTTTGGAATCAGCGCAACCTACAGATTTGATAGTTATCTGCTAGCAGGTAACTGACTAATATGTAGATTTTCCGCACAATGCATGATTTCCAAGAGCAATATCAAACTGTGGTCCGTGCGACGATGTGTTTGTCTATTTCTATTTTTCTCTTTAAAACAATGTATAATAAAACAATTATTAAATTCGTTTTTTGTGATATCCGGTTTAATCAAGGTCTCGGTAAGTGTTATTAGCCTTGGCGTTCGCCTCGGTTCATAAGAGCTGCCTCAAAATATAGAAAAATCTGTGGAAACAGTTAGCAAAAAGCGAAAACAAATAACGACATCCTAAGGATAATCAATCCGCTCTCGTTCATTAGCGCGCTAGTACCACGAGAGGCCTTTATATCCTATATGAGGAGAGTCGAATGGATTTATAAGCGAAGAAATGCGTTGTTTACTTACAAATACCACAAGGAAGAAAGATCTGAAAATATTCCTGACGGAAGCGTCTTGAGCTCGTTGTCGTTCAACTGCCTGCAGGAAAACAAATGATAGTTAATATGTATGAATACAAAATCATTTTCGGTCACCAGTTTGTAAATGCTATTCAAAATGTAACTTTTACAGTCATACAGCCGCGTAGAATGTTCAACAAAATGTGTTATGGTTGATGTGCGGGAGTTCATTAATAGTCAGGAAGCACTGTCACGCAGGGCGCTCATTTTTCATTTTCGCTAAACATTTTGAGTAGAAGCAGGCAACATAGCTTAAAATCTTCATCTTGCCATCCTGATTAAGAATTGCGCTGTTGCCCACTCCAAATGTTATGATATCTGTCATTAAGCAGGTTTTTTGTCTAGGCCCTCGCTCCTGCAGCATGAAAACGAGGCTGAACTGTAACATTTATATAAACCCAATAAAAAGTGCACAATACGATGGGGAAATAGCTGAATCTTTGTTACTTGCTGTTTAGAGCTCGATAGACAGTAGTATGGGAGATAAAATGCGTCACGTGATCAGTTATGAAGAGTCACGTGACTTTCCAATAAAATCGATTCTAAAGCATAAAAGACGCTCTATTCACTCTTTCCTTTAATATAGTTTTCAACTTACTGACGTTTCTCATTTCGATTTACAGATCCAACAATAAAAACACAAAAATGCAATAGGTGATCAGCTATGATGGGTCACGTGACTAGATAGCAACCATTGAATAGATACTGAATTAGCCTTAGCTGTGTGAATAGCGTGATTGTTGATTGTGATTGTTTCAGTAAGCTCTTCAGGAATTATTTTCTATTAGAAATAAAAAAAAAACTATGTTTGATGGGGGTAAATATGTGCTTCAATCTGTCGGAAACATTGGTCACTAAGTTTACGACTGGGAACGACGATGATGCATTAGTAGATGCCCTGACTAGCAATGAGCTTGTTAATGAAGTTGGACAAGCTGCACATATCATCAAAGCTTTTGATGCCGCACATCATGACAACCCTCGTTCTGTTACTGGAGGCAATACATGAAACTGGTGTCCATCTTACTGAGGTTTACGCGCGCGATCCGGGAAGGGAAGTGGGATCTGTCTTTACTGCGCGCAATGTTTTGCTGTGTCCGAGCCTTTAGGGTGTTTATCTGGCTCAATCAAGTAGTTGATCTCTCTTTGTTGTCCGAAATGCTACCCTATTTTGCAGCTTTCGACCACTCGAATTACACCAGATAGAGCGTCATATTTCTTGCAGACATGAAGATGCTTTCGCAGACTGCCCCTGAGGTCTAGCTAGCCTGCGTAGCATGGCGGTTTTGGTTGGGCGCGCTAAGTAATAAAGGCGGGCGAGGGCAGAGAAACCGCGAGGAGATTGGGGCGGAAGCAACTTGAAAAACCGCCTGCACGGACGGGGGGCTTTTTTGAGTCGGTCCGCACGCCAGCGTACGGATCGTTCCGATTGGTTCGGAATGTTCGCCTGTCAATCAAATATTTTGGTAATCTCCCATGGGAGAGTTTCGAGGGACTGAACAAATCATCTCCGCAAAACAGAATCAAAATATCAAAGAAGCGTTGACCGGAGCGTCGTCGATCTTGAATATTTGACGGGAAAATAGGGCAATTGTATTGAAGCCTAAACAGGAAATGGCCATTTACAGTCTTCTTCAAAGGAGAGATGTCATGGAAATTTTGTCAACAAGATTTGGCAAGAGCATGATCTTTACTGTCTTTGCTATGGCCAAAGAAGAAATATCCTCATCGAAAACCTGTATGATCACAATTTCCCCCGTAAAAAGTACTATCGAGGACCAGATATCTGAAATGGTGTCGCTGAGATGTAAAGCAATGGACCTTATGACAGAAACAGTAAATTTCAGTGCTTCGAGAAAGTTCACCTCAATTTTCTCTATTACTCGGTGTTAGAAAATAACGCACTCCAGCGCAATACATCGAACGGCGTCCGCGATTGTGGTCGATGAATCGCATATGGTAGAAGACGCACAGCGTAATTCTCCATACTTTTTTGCTTGGTGTAGCTTAAGCTACAACTCAAATCTGAAGATCGCGCCATACGTAAAAATACAACATCCTGCAAACAGCAGTTAAAAAGCCGGGCCCAGCGTCAAAACATTCACGGACAAAGCAGTGACAAAGAAACTACAAACCAAGGCTCCTTGGTTTGTAGTTGTCCAGATCCAGGCATTTTAGTCGGAAAAGACCAAAGAAACTAAAATATTTATTTAGCCGTAATAAAAAGCTTTAGGCTTTAAGAGTGGTCAAAGAAATTAGTACTTTACAACTGCATCTGAGATCAACAAATTCTAATTAGCGAAAATAACATTAACCACAGGAAATAATTACTCAATACGGATTAAACAAACCAACTCCATGACCTCTAAATAAATGTAAGACTTAGTGCAGCAAAAATAAGATCTACTCAGTCAAGTTTAGAAGGCAGTGTAGTCACCTATGCGCGAGATAGCCACAAAGAAAAAACCCGTGTTTGTTCAAGCAAACTCCAATTCCGGCCAAGGTCACGTTTTACACTATATCACGAGCTTTTGTGTCGTGTTTAGGCTGTCAACACTTTATTTCTGATTGGCTGGGAAAACTGAAACCAAACAAGTTGTCAACAGGATGTCATAACGAGTTGAAGGGGGCGGCAATTGAAAAGGCTACGAATCCGGGCAGGCGGTTTTTATTTTTCTCGCGGCTACGCCGCTCCTGCGCCCGGCTCAACAAAACCGCCATGCCACGCAGGCTAAGGTCTAGCCTCCCCTGCAGACATTCTTAGGCGTGCGTCACGGAAGGAACGCGTGACGCACGCCTAAGAATGACTGCGGGGGAGGCTATACAAGGGTTGACCTGCTATTTGACAGATATGTCAAGAACTCGATAAAAGGAGGAACCAGAGACAAGCGCAAGGAGAAAAAGAGTGCAGGGATTAGGCGCAATGTGGATAACAGAGATTAGAGAATTGGAAACTGGGAGAGGTTCATCATTCTAGAAGATAACAAGGCTAGCCTACCTCATTTCCTCTCGACTGACATCTCGGAGAGTTACCGCGCGCCTCCTGGGCGAGAGCTGGTGATCAATGGAGGCTTCAAGGATACACTGAAGGTGTGGTCATCTGACACATCACGACAAGATATAAGAGAGCTCGCTTCAGATCATGAGGAGGCAGATACTAGAATAGTACTGCGTGCCCGAGACGTAGCAGCAAGGGGGTACAAGCAAGTCAACACTTTGTGTCTTGATACGGACGTTCTTGTCCTCCTTTTGGCATACCGAGAGCAGCTTTGTCAAGAGATATGGATGTTTGCTGGTACATCAAGACAAAGGCGTTACATACCAGTTCACAGAATCCCGCTCTCCGAGGAGAAGAGGAAGTCGCCTCTGGCGTTTCATGACATTACTGGCTGTGGTACAACAAGCCAGTTCTATGGTGTGGGCAAGGCTTCGGCATGGAAAGTCTTCGAAGATGCACCTGACCTCTTGGAACACCTTGGAGAAGAAAGCCAAATCAGTGCTGACGTTCTTGCCAAAGCTAAAGCCTTTGTATGCAAACTCTACAATCCGGAAACACAAGAGGTGGAAACCAAAAAAGAAAGAGCAGCAGCGTTTCGCAAATCCAAGAAAGATCTCGACGCCCTACCTCCGACTCAAGATGCACTGATTCTCCACATAAAGCGGGCAAACTATCAGACCATGGTATGGAATAAAGCGCTGGAACCATGTCCTTCTCTCCCAAAGCCTGAAGACAGCGGATGGTACTATAGTAAAGGCCTTCTGAAGCCAAAGTTAATGACACGAGAAGAAGTGTCAGCGGCGTGTTTACAGTTAGCATACTGTGGGTGCTCCCGAGAGGGCGGATGCAGTGTAAACCGACGCTGCACTTGCGTTAAACTATCTCTTTGCTGTTCCAAGGCATGTAAATGTGGCGACAGGTGCAGAAACGACAGGAACACTGCAGCAGAGGCGAATGAAGCATGACCTATAACTTTGATAAGGTGGAAGTCACATGGTGGTCTTGTGTAATATAAGATACTTTGCTTATGGTTTATAAGCTTGTATTTCTGGCTTAAACCGTGCGGCCAAGTAGAAGAAAGTTCAGTCTTTTTACATGAAAAATCCTAACTCATGGGAAATGTTACATAGGTTGGAAACGCTATAGAATGACTGAAAATAGAATGATTTCATTACATCACGTGACCCATCATAGCTGATCACCTATTGCATTTTTGTGTTTTTATTGTTGGATCTGTAAATCGAAATGAGAAACGTCAGTAAGTTGAAAACTATATTAAAGGAAAGTGTGAATAGAGCGTCTTTTATGCTTTAGAATCGATTTTATTGGAAAGTCACGTGACTCTCCATAACTAATCACGTGGCGCATTTTATCTCCCACACTATTGTCTATCGAGCTCTAAACGTCAAGTGGCAAAGATTCAGCTATTTCCCCATCGTATTGTGCACTTTTTATTGGGTTTATATAAATGTTACAGTTCAGCCTCGTTTTCATGCTGCAGGAGCGAGGGCCTAGACAAAAAACCTGCTTAATGACAGATATCATAACATTTGGAGTGGGCAACAGCACAATTCTTAATTAGGATGGCAAGACGAAGATTTTAAGCTATGTTGCCTGCTTCTACTCAAAATGTTTAGCGAAAATCGTTTTTTGGCGAGTTGCCTCCTGACTATAAATTGGTTTGTACCTGACGCTATATGCATGCCATACGTGTGTTTCAGTGGAGACACCGCATGGGATACAGAAGAAATGCTGTTGCACGGGGTCTCTGGCACAAGTACGAGCCTTAACCAGGGATGGAACACTTGATAAAGTAAATGGAAATCTTGTTTCTCGCACGCATTGTTTAGTCTTAGAAGCACTGTTAGCAACTCTAAGGGCACGCGAAAAGTGCTTACTTCTCTCCTGTTCTTAACCCTCTCGCTTAATTATGCAAACATCAAAGAACTTACAGTAGTTCCGAATTCTAGGTACTTCCGTTAAACGTTAATAATACATATATACATACATACATACATACATACATAGCTTTATTTGTTAACGCAGGTTGGTAGAAGTCAGCCAGAGGCTGATGTGGACCTGCCTAAAACATTAAGATCTAGTCGTATTAACTAGGATATATACAAGTGTGAGGTATGCAAACAAGTAAAAGTATGAACGTGAACATTGATTGATTAAAAAAAGATTACTATGTCCATTGTAATCTATTGTAACTAAAAAAGTAAATGAATAAATTGGTCAAAAATAACAGAAATCATCAGCCTTATTTGTAATCAGGCATGATTTCTTCTCGAAGCTTAATTTATCTAGTAGCGCCTGGTCTTTTTTTATCTTTTTCTTAAAACTTGCATGGCTATCAGAAAGTTTATATGACTCGGGCAGGATATTCCACACAATAAGCCCTTTGTAGGATAAGGATGTTCTTCCCATGGAGTAATAAATTGTACTTTGGTACCTTAAATCCATCCCTTCTTCTTAGGTTATAGGGTCGCTGCTCAGTTTTGTGAAATAAGTCACAGATGGGTTTAGGTATTAAGCCATAATAGGCTTATTACATGAGTGAGGTTAACTTAATGCGTTTCAAGGTAGGTGCTCTTAAGTAGATCAGTTCAACATCACATAACAGGAGAGGGTACAAGTTCCCCAGACTAGCACGCCATATGTAACGCTGGGAACAATACTTCTAAAGTAAATGGCTTCCAGGACCCTCCTGGGTAGGACCCTCAATCGCTTTAGATTTTTGACTTTTCGACTAAAGCTCTTACACACAGCAGTCATCTGAGGCTGCCAGGATCGATAATTTAGAGTCAATGACTACCGCCAAGCAGACACTTGAATAAACATAACTTAAGATCTTATCTCCGAGTGTAACTGGTTTCAGGGGGCCACAAAAGCTGTTTCTATTGATAACCATAACCTCTGATTTCCCACTATGGATAGTTAACTTATTATTTCTGCGCCAGTTATGTACATCCCCCAGTATGCGATTTAGTGCATCACACACTACATCGACTGAGGGGCCTATGTAGAATAGTGTTGTGTCGTCTGCATACATATCTATTTCCCCTTCTTTAATCTGATCAGGCAAGTCGTTAAAAGGAGAAAAGTCTTGGACCCAGGAGGGATCCTTGTGGGATGCCACATTTCACAGCATTAAGTTGTGATTTACATCCACTGACAACAGCAAACTGTTTCCGGTCTTTAAGATAGTCTATTATCCACTTCAGTGCAGAGCCACTGAACGCTAGGGCTTGAAGCTTTAGATAGAGTATTGAGTGCGAGACACAGTCAAATGCTTTTTTGAAGTCGATGAATACAACACCCACTACATTTCCATTATCTAGGGCTATTTTCCATTTCTCTTTCAAGTGTGTCAACAGTCCTTCCGTCGATCTCCCTTTTATTAACCCCCATTGATTTTTATTGGAAAGGCCATTTTCGTTGATAAAGTTGTCGATGTTTCGGCAAACTGTAGCCTTCAAGATTTTACTAGGGATGCGTAGCACTTGAAGTGGCCTGTAGTTGCTTTTATCCGTGGAATCGCCTTTCTTATAAACAGTGTGCATTCGTGATGTCTTCCACAAGGAGGGCACCCTGGAATGCACAAGGCAAAGTTTAAATAATGGTTGGAGGCCTCTAATGATGGATTCACCGCACCGCTTGAGTTCTCTGGGAAAAAAAAAGTCAGGGCCTGTTGCCTTTCTTGGGTTGATGGTTAATTTATCCTTAAGGAGCGTGGGGTAGTGCGGCCGGGGAATGTGGGAGAGATCCTATAGATATGATGTATGGTTATGTGATCCTGTGTTGGTTGAAGATTGGACATTAGGTTTTCTCCAATAGTCGAAAAATAATCATTCATAAGAGTGGCTTTTACATTGTCCTCCAAGATGATGTTGTCTTAACCATCTCTAATAGGGCCAATAGTGTTTTGTTTACATTCCTGCCTCTTACCTTTCTTTACAAGGTTCCAAAAATCTCTGCTGTTTTGAGTTTTTGCAAATTAATTCTTCTAGTACAAGGCTTTTGCCGTTCTTAGCTGGCGGGTAACCTCGTTTCTAGCTTTCTTAAACTCTCGCCATAGATCCTCGCTTTGCGTTCTTTTAGCTTGCTGCCGTAACTTGAATCGCTCAGGCCCGGTGAGGGTAAAAGGCGGAATGAGTTTGCGGAATGGCATGAGGCATAGCTTGCGGAATGACATAAGTATGCGGAATTTAATTTATGGAAAGTAGCGCAAAGAAAAAAAATTCAACAGGAAAGCATGCGCGCGTGTCTGCCGCGCCTTTTTGGGCGTCAATTTGAGCGAGCAATCGATTTGCCGGTACATTTGTTACTGCTATTTAAGCAAGGCTAAAATTGAAACACAGCTGATACACGAATACTTGATAAATTATCCATAGCTCGTTCCCAGAATAAACTGAAACCGTCACGCTATTTGTAGAAACTGAGTGTAGTCTGCTTGGTCATTTATTAAAGGCTAGATATGAGTAAAAAAAATGAGCGAAATGGAATGTTGAAATTATTGCGAGTGATATTTGATATTAATAACGGTATGACCAGTAGCTATTACGCTAGCCAGTTAAGAATTTAAGGGTTAAGAACACAAAATTATAAAACCGTCACTGAAGCCATTGCCACTTTTTTGTTATTTGGTTCCACAGGAATTGAAAAAAATAGAAAGATTATGGGGCCTTTGCGATGTAAACGACGCTCAGCGATTGCTCCACAATGAAGTTTTAGTCTAAATAACTAGGCAGCCTTAGGAACATTCAGTAACAAATCTATAATAAAACTCACTTAGTTGCCCATTGGTAGCGAGGGGTGGGGGGGGGGGGCGTAATCCTCGGAATTCTTATTGGGGTGTGCTTCACGATTCTCCTAATCGCGAGCCTGTTTCATATGTCCATTTTAACACCCGTTTTCAGACCTGGCTTCCTAAAATCCGTACGCGTTGTCAGAAATCGCTTTTTGACATTGTACTCGGTTTGCAAAACCATTAACTAATTGTCGATCTTGTCCACTTGGAGTCAGCATATAGTTTCAAATATGTTTAATATTTAGCAGTATTTGACACTGAACATTGTTTCATGCACAAAATTATAGACTAAATCAAACTGCATATTGTGCCGTAATGAATACAGCATGCTCATGTACTAATCAATCCCTGCATGGCGGTTATATGAAGAATAATAGAACAAAACAATGATAAGAAACTGAATGGAAATACATGGACTAATTGTATAGATACTATAAGACTAAACTGTTGGTTCCTAAAAGAAGGTTAAGTGCGCTGCAAGCAGATGCTGAGATAACAAGTGTTATAAATTTCTCGATCACGAAAAAAATGATCGAAAGTTAGGTAATTTATCTGGAAACAGCGTCCGTTTGGCATAATGTATACATATTATAAGTGTGACGGCGTTTTTGTCCCTCCATATGGTGATCTTAGGTGACCTACAAAGCACATAAGTTATTGCACATTTGCCGAAAAGGCAAGCAGTTAACATCAATATAAGAGATAAAATACGGTACACTATATAAAGAATAGTTTTGAACTGACGTGCAAACAATAAGAGTACCCTTCTATTAAAGTTTTGCTTTTGCATGTATGGAATCAAGAAAATAACTTTTTGGGCTAAATGGCTTTCGTAGCCATAAAGGGACAGGTCTGCAACTCCTTATAGTGTAAGAGCAGTAAAATAAGATTAATCTTTAAAATACTTGACAAATCCGATCGGCAGGTCTCGCAAAAATAACCGCGTTCCCAGGGTTTTCTCTCTTGCTCCGAGAAAGAACCCCGGTTGCGGCTGGTCACGTGGCTCCCAAAAGCTAAGAGCCTCATCCGAGCAATTTTATTGGTAAAGTTTTCCACATCATACAAACGCTTTCAACGCTTTCGACGCTTTCGAGTCAGAGCAGCAAACTTAAGCCAGGAAGCCCGTCACCTTAATGGGTTTCGAAATCATATTATGTGATGAAAAGGTATACAAATCAATTTTGGCATCCCCAGAGAAAACCTTAGAGATATACGTTCGTGTGTAGTAAAAAATGGTCATTGCGTCTTTTATTTAGTACACGGAAATTACGATGAATTGCTAGAACTAAGTAATGTGGTTGCTTTTAATCACAATGACGATTACAACAAGCAGATCGCAGTCAGGGAAAATGACATTGTCTATATTCCAGCGCCCGTTACCTAGGAACTTTGGTAGCAAAGACATTGATTTCCAAAAGGACTTTTCATTCTTTAGGCGACATGAGTCTTAGCAAAAGGCGGGGTCTGTGAGTCGATCGAGCTAAATGTCAGGCTAATATTTTACTTTATTGGCAATTCTTCCATTTCGGAAAATAGAATTAATACATGTACCACCGAAAATATCCGGTGAATTTGCCTCCCTGTCCAAGATTTTTTGCGAAACTTACTCTGGACAAGAAATAAGAACAGGAAACTAACCGCAGAATATTTGCTCAACTCATTGTAAATCACGCACGCAACGTGACATTCTTTGACAGTGCTCCATGGGAACTTGTCCTTTTTTTAACTCTAAGTAACTTTTTGACGATCATTTAAGCACATAACTTTGACGAGAAAGCTATTTTCTTGTAATCTTTGAGGAAACCTTTATCTGACAAGGCGAGAAAGTTAGAAAATGCACAGTGCTCCACTCATCGTTTATTAAGAGTGAAGGAAAACGTTTTACTAACAGTTCAGGGGAGCACTGTTCAAAATCCAAATGGAAGATGTTTATTTCACAATTCTTACCGCAGTTTCTATAGTAGAAACTGTTGCTTTTCTTTTGAGGAAACAAACATGTGATAGAAACCTACTTTGGAGAAAAGGAAAATAATTTACAAGTGGAGAACTGTGGTGCGTGACTATGGAGCATCGCGTGCACGCTGGGGAGCTCAGCAACTGAAAACATGAAAACAAGGTTTCACAATGGACTTTACTCGATGTCATTGCATCCCAAGACGCAACTTTCAGTAACAAGGTTTTTCAAGTTTCCAACCAATATTCGATTCACACATTTTTAGACGCAACGATTGAATTGATTCGCTTATGCCTCTTATTGTGCGATCAGTACAATGAGACATCTGAGACCAGAATGTATTGAATCAAACTCAAAAAATATTTAGCATTCGTTAAAGGATATGGCGTTACATTTGAATACACAGGGCCTTATCCTGTTATATCTTTTTAACAATATGAAAGAAAATGTTCAACGAGCTGTTTTTAAACAGTCTGTGAAGAAGAGTTTAGCGCAGTACAGGGCTAGGGCGGATAACTTAAATGCCGATGTATAGCGGCTAAATTCAACTTGGGATGGATCTTTATCCGTAAAAAAGACGGCGTTAATGTTCCAGCTCTTACAGACTTAAAGACCGCTGAACTATAGCCGAGATATAGCCGAGATGGTGTCCTCACCTGTCCTTTCTCCTATTATTTGGATGAAAAATTGGCCCTGTGGCCGTTTACAATACCATTTATACCGTGAATACTGTGATTTTACATGTAATCTGTATTTTAAGTCAACTTGCATTACATTTTCCTCACCTAAAACGCAAAGTGTCCCAAACGTTTTGACCAGGATTGTCCGAGCAGCAAATTTTAATTCAAGAGAAAATCAGGAAGTGGATAAAAGACAGTGTCACATTAGTCTATTCTAGATGAGACTTATGATTCAATTAGGTGTTTTTTTGCGCTTAGATTCTGTTCCACGCGAGCGGATAGAGTTAATAATTTTGACGAAATTCGCATCGCGTGTCGAACGTGCGTGGATTGCAAAGCGAGACAGAAACACGAGTTGACTTTATATCGGGTTGGCAGACACAGTGACGTCATCGATTTGTGATGTCCAGGTGCCTTGGTTTGTTGGTTTCACTGTTTTTGGGCCTCTTTTGCCGTCAAGAAATGATCCTGGCTAGAAATATTTATTAGAGAAGTACGTAACAGAAAATATTGAAGAAATTTGGGCTAATAGCTTCAAGATACGAGCGATCGAAAATCGAGATAAAAGAGCAATTGTCGGTACGTCTCACTTCTCAGACGAGTTTGTTTGTGTTTCTCCAAAGTGCGTTTCAGTTTGGACAATACGGAAATAAGAAACAAAGAAAGAACAAGTAGGGACCTTCAAGACGATATTCGTTACCCATCCAGTTCCTAACCGGACAGGGCTTAACTTGAGTTTCACGAGGGTTATTGCCAGGTAAGTATTTCTTGTAAAGTTTTTAATTTTTCGTAAAATGCCAAGCGCACTGTGGCAGGACTTTTGACAATTTGTGGAAAAGCAGTCTTACCAAGATAAATGTTCACTGAAATGAATCCCGAAGAGCTTGGTTAGCTTGACACGCTCAAGTGATCTACTGTATATCCTCAAGGAGGGAATGAACTGTCCAAGGGAGTGAACACGAGACATCTGGCTGGTGGACAGAACGATTGTCTTGGTCTTGGTCTTTTTTCCATATCGATGGAAAATAGGATTTCCCAATATGCGGTTATTTATTATTTCGGTTATTGGGCCAGCAATTATTTCACCGACCATTCACAAATTTTACAGGAATTTAAGCACGATGAAGGTACCATTTTAGCGCGAGTGCAGAGGGACTTTAAAAATACTACACCTGTATCGCAAAACACGGCATTTTGACTTCACCTGTAGCACAATACATGGATTGTGAATACGCCTGTAGCATAATACATGCCTTGCCTCGATCTATTTAAGGTTATTAAATTTTTATTCACTTTCATTATCCTTAAGGAAAGATAAGACCTCATCAGGCTAATTAAAAACACGATCTGTTATTAGTTATGCACGATAAACGCTTAATTAATTAAAGCACGATTTTCGGTGTTGCCTATAGTCTGGAAAGTCGTCATAGTTTGACCACGGAGACGATGGAATTTACCATAAATTCCGCTTCACAGGAAGTAGATTTTGTTATCCGATCGTCATGCAAAATGAATCTAATCGAATTTTAACGAAAGAACGCGGTATTTGGAGGAACTGAGTATATCCTGGTTGGTTACCTGTTAATTATCGATGAGCAAAAATGAGCGAAATCAAGCCCTTTATCCTCTCTTGGTTAAAGTTATACAGACCGATATTTTCGAAAAGTCGCTCTTCTTGTGATTGATAACAGTATGAGAAATAATAATAAAGCGAACCGTGAGGGTTCTGAAGAAAGGATAACAAAACACTGAAATCATTGCCATGTAAATTGTTGGTTACATTAGTTAACTTGGGTATATAATCATAGAAAGATAATAAGCTAAATTGGGCCATGGAATCTAAACCACCTTCAGCAAATGCTCTATATGTGTTTGCTCAATAGACCTTTCTACCGATACGGCGGCCATATTGAATTAATTGGATTTAAGGAGTATTATGAGATGCCCAGGGGGCATGAGCACGATCTCATATACTTGCATTAGTATTTACGCGCGCTTTTCGGGCCAATTTTTCTTTAAGTTTTCCTAGAAAAAGATTGTAATGAGAAAAAAAGATCGTTGCGCCGTCTTTGGATGTAATAACGATCGCCTTTTTCCCTAGAAATATACATTGAAGTTCTCTTCTTGCCCGAAAAGCGCGTGTAAATACTGAGCGAGTGCCCCTGGGCATCCCATAATACTCCTTAAATCTAATAAATTCAATATGGCCGCCGTATCGGTAAAAAGGTCTATTGAGGTCGATGACGTTTTAGTTTAAGAAGCTGGAAAGATACAGGAACACACTGTCTCGTAATACCCAACCTTTAAGAGTCATTATCGCCCATAGGCTCTTTTTAGCCTATACTGCACCAATTTTGTAATATTTCAAACAGCAAGTAAGAAGGGTATTTTTATATGCGGCCACATAGGCGTTGTACAAGAAACTAACAGCTTCATTCTGCAATATCAGCATACTGGCACCAATATGTGTGTTAGCACAGTAATACTGTTACCCATGTTATTCAGAATAAGCAATAATGAAGCAAAATACTAATCACCCCATGTAAGGGAATTAGGATTTCAGAATCCGGGAATTTTTGTTGGTGGAATCTGAAATCCTGGGCTTTGGAATCCGGAATACAGCTCAAGGAGTCCGGAATATAATTCCACTAACGATTGGAATCCAGAATTCAAGTTCCACTGACAAAAACTGGAATCCAGTACCTGGAATCCGGAATTCACAGCGTGGAATCCAGAATCCAAGACTGTCTTGGATTTCCTTTAAGGAAATCTAAGGCATTTAAGGTTATTAGAAGTGTGGGATAAAGGGGAAAAAGGTAACACAAAACAACGCCTAAAGATAAAGAGAATTGAAATTCTTAATTCGGATTTATTTTCTCTCATTCTGTTTACTTTGCTTTTTAAAGAGGCCTCTCAAAAGATTGAGTCATTCAGGACTTTTTTTATTGTCTTTTTTCTTCTATACAATGTTCCATAAAATACAACGTCCTCTATGGCCGTTGCCTATGATACATTAGTGTGGCGCTCAGTTTTGAAAATGTTTGCGAGATTCGTATTTCGGATGAAGCAAGGAAAGGCCTCCAAAAATGGTTAGCAGCAAATGTTTACAAATGATATTGAGACAAAGTAATTTTGGGGACTTGAAAAATGCCTTAAAAAACAACAATGAGAACAAGAAGGAACTTCTTTAAAGCATGCGCAGTTGTCATCGCTTTGAGACCCAAGTAAACACGGTGAATGAAAAGTTTTGAAGAAACTGTTTACAAGTATCAAGAAAAAGAAGGAAAGAAGGGCAGTGACTGGGAAAATGCCTAAACTGGGTAACAGTTACAATCTGCTACGGGAAGCATGCTACGAGGCAAGTTTGCCGATTATTTTTTCTGTTCATTGAATTACACAAATAAATAAGATTCCTTTGTGCCTTGAGCTTGTCTTTTCGGTAATAGATCACAGAAGGCGTCAAAATGTCTGCGGCTCATGTGCAAAAACACATTTTATCATGTGTGATTGATTACTGAACAGACACACGGCAAAAAAGGAACCGGGTGGTAAACTATAATACGTGATTCTCTTAGACATTATATTATGATATAAATCTTACGTAAATCGTAGATTAGCTACAAAAGAAGAAATGTCTGGGGAAAAAATGTGCAACGCTTGTGCTTCAAGAAAAAAACTCCTGAAGGCAAGTCGGGGCTTACAAAAAAATTCACGCATCGAAAATTTTTCGCACCCCCTCCTTCCGGTTATTTCTAATGATCCGTCCCTTACATGAGGCGATACTAAACGCTTTTTAAAAAATGCGTATTACCTACATCTTTTCGTGTTGCACTGGTGTGTAACTTTCCGGCTTTAGGTTCCTTGTATGCTAGCCGCGTAGATTTTGAAACCGCACGGAATCTTATATGTGTGGTTGCTGTCGCATCCTAGTGTTGTAGTATTGTTAATAAGCAACATACAATACAAAAAAATTCAAACTTATAACCACTCTACCTCAGATAGATTGGGAAATACCCTAGGCGGAAGCTGTTCGATTTTATTGTTGTGTAGATACCCGAATAAGGTTGTTTTTGAATTATTTCAACTGCGTATTTCGTGGTATTAAGATTGATCAGTGAAAAACAACCTTATCCTTAGCTAGTCTATTTTAGTTCTATAGTTGTTGCTTGTTGCTGTCGTACTGACCTCTGGATGAACTGTTAACTTTACTTGCGTACATGGAAAACTTGTCATTTTTGAACAAAAAAAAATGAATTTTGCGTTATATACGGTTTGGAATACACCTACACCCAATATTTCTCACCCTCAGGTAAGCTAGCTTTTAGTTTTAGATTAACATAACCGACCAACAAGCTACATTCAATTAAATTCACA